TCCTAAACCCACCCAAAACCACCCTAAAACCACCCAAAACAGCCCTAAACCTGCCCAAAACTGCCCTAAAACCACCCAAAACCGCCCTAAACCCACCCAAAATTGCCCTAAACTCACCCCAAACCATCCTAAACTCACCCAAAACCGCCCTAAACTCACCCAAAACCGCCCTAAACCCACCCAAAATTGCCCTAAACTCACCCCAAACCATCCTAAACCCACCCAAAACCACCCTAAAACCACCCAAAACCGCCCTAAACCCACCCAAAATTGCCCTAAACTCACCCCAAACCATCCTAAACCCACCCAAAACTGCCCTAAACCCACCCAAAACTGCCCTAAAACCACCCAAAATTGCCCTAAACCCACCCAAAATTGCCCTAAACTCAGCCCAAACCATCCTAAACCCACCCAAAACCGCCCTAAACCCACCTTGAGCTCAGCCTGGGATTTCAGGGTCCTGGATTATTCCTGGGTTTTTCCCGTTTTCCCCGTGTTTTTCCCCGTTTTTCCGGGTGTTTTTTCCCGTTTTTCCCGTGTTTTTTCCCATTTTTCCGTGTTTTTCCCGATTTTCCCTGGTTTTTCCCCATTTTTCCGTGTTTTCCGGGTGTTTTTCCCCGTTTTCCCGGGTTTTTCCCGTTTCTCCCGTGTTTTTCCCCATTTTTCCCGTGTTTTTCCCCATTTTTCCGGGTGTTTTTTCCCGTTTTTCCCGTGTTTTTCCCCGTTTTTCCGGGTTTTTCCCGATTTTTCCGTGTTTTTTCCCGTTTTTCCCGTGTTTTTCCCCGTTTTCCCGGGTGTTTTTCCCGTTTTTCCCGATTTTTCCGTGTTTTCCGGGTGTTTTCCCCGTTTTTCCGGGTGTTTTTCCCCGTTTTTCCGGGTGTTTCCTTGACGTTCCCACGGGATTTCCCGTGCAAGCTGTTCCACACCACCGGGCTCTGCATCAACGGCGACGACTGCATGTTCTCCCACGCGCCCCTGAGCGACGAGAGCCGGCAGCTGCTCGACAAGGTGACGCACCTGGGACACCTGGGGACACCTGGGGACACCTGGGGACACACCTGGGACACCAAAACACACCTGGGGACACCTGGGGACACCTGGGGACATCCAAAACACACCTGGGACACCAAAACACACCTGGGGACACACCTGGGGACACCCAAAACACACCTGGGGACACACCTGGGACACCAAAACACACCTGGGGACACCCAAAACACACCTGGGGACACCTGGGGACACCTGGGGACATCCAAAACACACCTGGGGACACACCTGGGGACACCTGGGGGCACCTGGTGGGGACAGCTGGGGACACACCTGGGGACACCTGGGGACACCTGGGGACACCAAAACACACCTGGGGACACCCAAAACACACCTGGGGACACACCTGGGGACACCTGGGGGCATCCAAAACACACCTGGGACACCTGGGGACACCTGGGGACACCAAAACACACCTGGGGACACCTGGGGACACCTGGGGACGCACCTGGGGCACCAAAACACACCTGGGGACACCCAAAACACACCTGGGGACACCTGGGGACACCCAAAACACACTTGGGGACACCCAAAACACACCTGGATACAGCTGGGAACACCTGGGAAACACCTGGGGACACACCTGGATACACCTAGGGACACCTGGAGGCACCCAAAACACACCTGAGCACACCCAAAACACACCTGGGGGTACCCAAAACACACCTGGGGACACCGGGGGACACCCAAAACACACCTGGGGACACCCAGAACACACCTGGGGACACCCAAAACACACCTGGGGACACCCAAAACACACCTGGATACAGCTGGGGACACCTGGGGACACACCTGGGGACACCTGGGACACCCAAAACACCCCTGGGGACACCTGGGGACACCCAAAACACGTCTAGAACCGAGTTTAGAACCCGATCTAGAACCGAGTCTAGAACCGAGTTTAGAACCCGATCTAGAACCGAGTCTAGAACCGATCTAGAACCTGATCTAGAACCGAGTCTAGAACCTGATCTAGAACCCGGTCTAGAACCGAGTCTAGAACCTGATCTAGAACCCGGTCTAGAACCGAGTCTAGAACCGAGTCTAGAACCGAGTCTAGAACCGAGTCTGGAACGCTCTAGACCCGAGCCTAGAGCCTGGTCTAGGACCCAGTCTAGGACACACCTGGGGACACCTGGGGACACCTGGGGACACCTGGGGACATTTGGGCACAGATGAATCCCAGTTCCCCCATCCTCATCCTCCCAATCCCATTCCCCCATTCCCAATTTCTCCCAATTTTCCCCCAATTTTCCCCCAATTTTTGAGGTGAAATTCCCAATTTTTCCCCAATTTTCCCCCAATTTTCCCCCAATTTTTCCCCAATTTTCCCCCAATTTTCCCCCAATTTTCCCCCAATTTTTCCCCAATTTTCCCCCAATTTTCCCCCAATTTTCCCCCAATTCTCCCCCAATTTTTCCCCAATTTTTCTCAATTTTTTCCCCAATTTCCCCCCAATTTTTCCCCAATTTTTCCCCAATTTCCCCCAATTTTCCCCCAAA